CTCTTCTCTCTCTCTGCCTACGGTTTTACCGGGCAGTTCTGTTTGTGACGATATATATATGTATATATATCAGCCTCCTGATTTCGGTGAAACTCAGACGAAACAGTTTGCCACAGCCCCTCGTTTGTTGTCCTCTTCTCCCTCTCTGCCTACGGTTTACCGGGTAGCTCTGTTTGACTGTGACAATATATATATGTATATATATATGTATATGTATATATATATGTATATGTATATATATATGTATGACGATATATATGTATACATATATGTATATATATGAGCTAAAGATCTGAAGAAAAATGAACAGGAGTATACATCCCGACCTTTACTCTGCCTCCTTTCATAACGTGCGAGTGGGCAGTTAAGGCACATGGGGATGTGGGCAGCTGGCGCTAAACCACAACCAACGTCGCCATCGTTGTATGTTAGAGGCCCAGTAAAAAGGGAGCTGCAAGAACCAATAGCAGGGTTACCCCAAAGAACGCGAAAGTAAAGAAAGTCGACAAGCGGATACAGCGGAGCTATTCTGCTCCGAAAAAGAATGTTTGGCCCTCCTTGACCATATTTTCCCTGGAAATCTGCTTTCCCTTTCAAAAATTTAGCAAAAGAATTGTGGAATGTTTGTCCCTCCTTGACCGTATTTTCCTTGCAAGTCTTCTTTTCCTTTCAAAAATTCAGCAGAAAGTGCCGAAAACCATAAACTCGACATCCTTTAAAAAATTCAGCAAAAACCGAAAACTCAGCATCCTCGTCACACGTGGTCACAACCTGTTTGTTATCTACCATCAGTGTGATTCTCCCATTGTAGCTGGGCTGAACTTTCTGTTTCTGTTTTTTTTTTTTGGGGGGGGGAGAGGGCGGGGGGGGCATGGGTTTAAAAAGGCCGACAGACTGGATATATCATCATTTGAGTTGACCGGCCTGAGGTAATTCAGAATTATCATTGATGTTATTTTGTTCATCTGACAGCATCCGGATTTGAGCTTAAGTCTGTATCCCAACAGTTCATGGATGTACCAACTGAGCTAGGCTGACCTTTCTTGTTGTTGTCGTAAAAGTGAAAAGGCATATGGCACTGTATTACATGGGCAATAAGCTTAAGAGTCGCACTTTCTTAAAAAAAAAAAAAGTAAAAAAAAGTCGGCACTTTCTTGCTTGGAACATTGGAGGAAACCAACCTTATAATCAAGAGAATACCATTTCATTTGTTAGCAGAGGGCCGCTACTGGTAGAAGAAGCTTGTGGTTCATAAGGGTGAATGCTAATGATCAATTTGTTCTGTTCTCCCGTGATGGTCATCCAGTACTTCGGGCTGGTGGTGATCCTTCTCCCACGTGGGATATCAATGTCACTGTGGGGAGGAGGGCTTTTTGGCTACATCTTGTATGATATCACCCACTATTACTTGCATCATGGATCTCCTTCAAGTAAGCTATGGCGTGACCTAAAGGTATCTCTCTCTCTCTCTCTCTC